GATTTGGAATGATGGCTTGAAACACCGCTAGAAGTGTATTTGGTTCCTGCAATAGCCTGTTCTTCGCTACCTTGTTATTACGAAGCCGCGTTTGGATTTACGAAATATAACAACCAACATCTTAAAATCACTAGGAGCTAGCTCGTAACTAGTGGCCAAAAACATTTTGAAACCTGGAAAATGGACATAGTTTACCGTCACTTTGCTACGGTGTGAGATGCACTTTCGTACGGTGCGGGTGAAAGTGCATGGGGTCAGTGCATATAGGCCAGCAGATCTTGCAAAAATGAGGTGGGCGTTTGCAGCGGACTTTACGGTAATAGCGCGAGCTCCAGTGTGGGAGCAAACTCGTTCCTAAAAATCATCGCCGAAGTCGCAACCACTATTTAGTACTAGTACTATAGAAAAGAAAAAGGACAAAGGAACTACAAGTTACGCTATAATGTCCACTAACACCACCAGTTACCAGATACCAGTTCCTTTGTCCTTTTACTTTTCTATAAATTAATCCTTGGCTCTCCATCCGAGTCCACTACTAGTACTAGTTTATATTTCTTTTTCAATAATTACGGTCTGCATTTCCTGTGGCCATGGTAACTTAATAACAGCCTGGTCAGTACAGGCATGGTCTATTGTTCACATCGGCATGGATATTTCTCAAGTTGCTGCTTCTGCTACTATCACCACTCTTATTCCATTTCTCATTTTTCATTCATGTTGGGTTTATCTATTCACTGCACTGAGACATGGTGATGATTGTGCTTCGCTTTGCCCATAGACGAGGCCTTTTCACTGCTCTTATTCTCTCCGGATCATCTTGGATTTTCAATAAAGTTCTTTGGCTACTAGTAGAGGGATGGTGGCAACAGTACAGCTGGAAAAACGGACACTACTAACTACAAACTAACCTTGAGCAAAAGGTTGAACACATGTTGATTTATGAGCCGCGACACGACAAAAGGGTGCTTATGGCACGCGTCATTAAACTGAGAAAAAATCGTTTGAAAGTTGAGTATGCAATATTGAGAGTGCACGTTTTCTTTCGTTGCGATTTATCAAGCTTTTTGAATGCGTTTATTTGCAACAAAAGCAGTGAGAATTCAGCCACTGCGCTGTATCCATAACTCAGTTTGTGACATTTTTGCCATAAGCACCCTTTTGTCATGGTGCGCCTCATATGCATCTTTATGTACTTTGTACGTGAACAATATTCTCTGCATTTGTATTTTGGCAGGCGCCACGCGATGGCCGCAGCGCTGACCATGCAGCCATTAGCACCACGCGTGTCCGCGCTGAGCATCTCGTCACCAGCACCGCCCAACACCATCCAGCAGAGGAAAGTAACCAAGGTGTTGCAATGGTAACAACAGGACCGGTGGCTTCTGGCACCGCTGACAACAGCGACAACAGCAGCAACAGCAGCAGCAGCAACAACAGCATCACAGCAGAATCTGAAATGCCATTCACTGGCGCAGAACTCGACCACCAGTCTGCCACTCAAGAAGACGTAAGAGATATTAGTTTAATCTGGCGGACCATGCATGCCTTTAATCCCGATTTGGCCGTTGTTTCCTGTGAAATTCTCCCAAACTGTAAATTATGAAGCATAACAAGCAGGTGCTGCCGTGCCCCGTGGCACATGGCTGTTTTGATACTGTTCATCATGTCTTCCTTCGTTTCATTGTGTCTTCTCCGATTTTGTGTGTGTGTGTGTGTGTGTGTGTGTATATGCGTGTGTTTTTGCATGCATACGTGTGTTTGTGTGTGCATGCATATGTGTATAATGTGTGTGTGTGTGTGTGTGTGTGTGTGTGTGTGTGTGTGTGTGTGTTGTGCTTTTCACTGATAGTGCATTGCGCAGGACGACACAGGTGCAGGGGGATGCTTCGATCCCACAGCCAGTAGCCTCCCCTATCCGTCTCTCACTGCTGACCCACCTCTAAACAGTTATACACAAGCGGACACGCCTGCTGACGATGGTAACACATCCGTAGAGCCACTTGACGAATCCAGCGACCACTGTTCACCGTTTGAACATGATAGTCTTTCGTCGGCAGGTGAGACAACACCGAATGTAACAACGCCACCGACGGCACGATACAATAGTCAGCCGGTACCCAGAGCTCGTAATCATGCTACTGTTGATGCTGGTCGTAGTGCTGGTCGTAGTGCTGGTCGTAGTGCTGGTGATGGTGCTACCGGTGGTGGTACTGGTGCTGCTGCTGCTGCTGCTGGTGGTGGTGGTGGTGGTACTGATGCTGTTGCTGGTGCTGCTGCTGGTGGTGGTGGTGGTGGTACTGCTGCTGTTGCTGGTGCTGCTGCTGCTGCTGGTGGTGGTACTGCTGCTGTTGCTGGTGCTGCTGCTGCTGCTGCTGGTGGTGGTACTGCTACTGGTGGTGGTACTGGTGCTGCTGGTGGTACTGGTGCTGCTGGTGCTGCTGCTGGTGCTGCTGGTGGTGGTGCTGCTGGTGGTGCTGCTGCTGGCGGTGGTGCTGCTGGCGGTGGTGCTGCTGCTGGTGGTGGTACTGCTGGTGGTTCTGGTGGTGCTTCAGGTGTTAGGAATACCAGTGGACTGTCGACCATGTTGATGGTAAGGTCTACCTGCCCTGGTTCTATTCAATGTTACCCCATTCTGAAGGATGTCTCAGGGAGTCCCGACTGTAGATCCTGCAACACATGCATTATGCACACGTTACAATTTCTCCAGGAAACCCATACTTATTGCCTTCTAGTGGTAGAGAGATTAACGCAGATACTGTGATGGGGCCAGGTGGGGCTAACACACTCAAATAATTTTAAGGTAAGGGGTCGTCTGTAATTATCGAAAAATTAAAAAATCCGTCCTCGTGCAAAACTGCCTCTGACCCCCCCCCCCCCCCCATTTTTTCCCATTAATTTTTTTGATTTTTACCGATGCCCAGCTCGAAAATAAGAACTCCTGACCCCATGTTCACTGATTGCACCTACATGTACATGTACATGTATGTCAAGTACTAGTAGTAGTGCCGGAGTAGGAGGTCTACCGACGGCCATGCACGTCCTACAACTACATGAAGATAAGAGTCATGTACCGGTATATCATACTGCCGTTTGCGATCCTTCAATACGTCCACAGTGCACTACATGTCAGTGCAACGAGTATATGAAAGTCACTGAAGAAAAAAAAGTACGAAAAATCAAAAAAATTAAATTCCGCCAGCGCTCTTGACCACCCACCCCCTTTCTGCCTGAGGACGGATTTTTATAATTTTTCGAAAAATACTTAACTGAATGATATCAGAAATCAGTTACCCTGGTTCGTACGATTTTCCGGAAACCCAAGGCGGGGTTTTCTGATCAGGTGGATACTCTCACAAGATAGGATGCCCTGGCGGTATTTGTGGTTAATTTTCCCCGAACCTGACGTTGTGAGACGCTTCACAATGTTGCCGCAATGGTGTCAAATGTGCATGTGTGTTCGTGTTCGTGTGTATGTGTTCGTATGTGTTTGTGTGTGTGTTTGTGTGTGTGTGTGTGCATGTGTGTGTGTGTACACACACGCGTATGTACATGTCCTTGCCTGCAATATATCCAGAATGATAGTGATCGTGCGCAAGAAGTGCGGCGAGAGAAGAAAATGTCAACTGCCTCAGATGGCGGCTCGAAAGAGCAACAGCTCACCGGGGACAAATTCACACTTCAAGAAGGGAAGTCTTCACAGACGTTGACTGCTGACACCTCCTCGGACACCTCAACTGTACAGTCCAGTGCGAATGTAAGTAAATTCCTGAGCTATGCCATACATACAGGGGTAAGCAGCCACATTCGGCCCTGTACAGATCTTTCCATTGATCACCACACCATAACTGCGATCTCCAGCCGATCTCGACACATTCTACAATATCTACCTTCACTGATGGGAGCTTTATACTAGAAACCCACTGTATGAAAAAAACAAAAACTCAGTACCAATGGTCCACGGATGTGTGGCGTTGCTGATGGTGTGCTGTGGCAACGTGTCGGGGTTTTGCTGGAGAGCGCAGTTGAGGTGTGCGGCATGATGCAAAAGGCTTTGTCATAGGTGTGTAATGTAGGACGTGTAGCTGAGCCAGGGTCCAGCAGTCTTTCTTCCGTATGTGTGGACTGACAGCAGGGCCGCGTGAATTGTAACAAATTGTGTTCACGTACGCCACGTCACCAGATGATTTCGGAGGAGCGGTTGGCGTGTGAATTTCTCAAAGTGCCTGTTCTGTTTGCAGGTGTTAACGGAATGCAAGTATGACATGCTGTGTTGACTAAGATCACCTGGTGCGGCGTATACCACGTGACACAAATTGCTACTGTAATTTTAGTGATAGTAAGGAATGATGAAATTCCCAATTGAGTATTGGACATTGTCGATAGACCTTCGGTAACTGGTCTTTCAGTTGAAAACTACTCTAAGCATGTGATTGCTCGTCAGCATGCATAGAATGTTTTCACACTGATCACATGACCACACCGGGTCAGCCATGTTGGTTCAAGCTCTAGTCAAACCTTGCATCTATGGGTCACATGATGATGTCGGCCATGTTGGTTCAAGCTCTAGTCAAACAATGCATCTATGAGTCACATGATGATGTCGGCCATGTTGGTTCGAGCTCTAGTCAAACAATGCATCTATGAGTCACATGATGATGTCGGCCATGTTGGTTCAAGCTCTAGTCAAACAATGCATCTATGAGTCACATGATGATGTCGGCCATGTTGAATTCAAGCTCTAGTCAAACAATGCATCTATGGGTTACATGATGATGTCGGCCATGTTGGTTCAAGCTCTAGTCAAACAATGCATCTATGGGTCACATGATGATGTCGGCCATGTTGGTTGCACTGTGCACATGACATGATCGCTTTCTACACAAATTCCATCACATGACAACGATATGAAATCACTCTAATTATTTTTAAAAGAAAAAAACAAATGATGATCACATGATCACAAGCGTTAGAGGATATGTCCGTGTGGCTTGTTTTGGTGCTCATGCCTCCCCCAGCAGGTCGACTCCATGGCAAACGGAACAGCGCTGCAAACTGCAGCTGATCCCCCTATGACAGCTGCAATGCACGCCAATCTGGAGGCTCCAAGTGACCGGTCCAGTGCAGCAGGAGGGATTACAGCGGAATTGCCAGCCGGGACCGGCCTCCCAATGACAGTGTCGTGCCGAAACGAGCCACTGCTGAAGCTATCGGGGCTGCAGCCATCACTAGCCAGTGATACTCAGTCTATTACCCAATGCTCTGAACAACCTGACCCGGATACCCTGGTGAGTTTTATAGCACTATCAATGAAGGGTTTCATACAATTATGCACCACTACCCAAAAAACGGTCTCTCGGCTACAAATTCTTCCAAATATAATACTATAAATCCAACTGAGGAAGGTATTCCAATGAAGGGTATTATAATGATTATTTATTCCCGTAGCTATGCAGAAGATGTGACTTCAGTAACGTCTGGCGCTAGCCAGTGTCCACACAGCTTTAATTTGGTATTTGTGTGTTTGTTTGTTTGTGTGTTTGTGTCACGCCTGGCGCTATCCCGTATCTGTCCCGTACCGTACCATCAAACACAGCTGGCCACATACAGCTGGCCGCAATATTCAAATAGGGCTTTCAAACGCAAGATCATAACGTGAAGCAACTTGGAAGAATGGGTATGAATGCGAAGTGTATGGGGGAATGCATGTAGGGCGATAGTGCGGGTTCGAATCCCAGGATATGCCTTAAAAAAAAAATAGGAGAATTGAAAATTTTACAACATCCCTATGCTTTTTTTGCTGTCATCAAGGCGGTAGACGGAGTCGTTTTACCCTCGATCGTACCTGTCCCGTACCTATCCCGTACCGTATCCAGTCTCTTCGGAGGCGTGGGTTCGAATCCCACCGCTGCCACCAATTTGTAGCGGGCCGCAGTCTCTCGGAGGCAAGAACGCACAAGGGTCTCAGTGAACACACTGTAATTGGCAATTGAAATGTACTGGCAACGAAATTAACTGATTGGCAACTAAATTAACTAACTGGCTATAAAAGAATCGTGAGCAACAGCTTTGACACAAAGGCAGACTCCGTACGCTAATGTACGGGGATACGCTAACGTATGGGGATACAGTGCGGGGATATGCTATACTCTAAGCACTAAACGCTATACGCTTTGAAGTCACAAGCGTCCCAACGCTACACCGTACTATCAAAGACGGCTGGCCACAATGCATATTAAAATAGGGCGTTCAAATGCAAGATCATAACGTGAAGCAACTTGGAAGAATTACTATGTATGCAAAGTGTATCGGGGGATGCATGCAGGGTGCGCGATAGTGCGGGTTCGAATCCCAGGTTATGTCTTAAAAAAAGGATTTTTTAAAGAATTTATAACATCCCTATGCTTTTTTTTGTCGAGGTCATCAAGGCAAAAAAGCATATTGTAGGGCCCTGAGCTTCCAAGCTCTCTCGTTTGTGATGAATGAAGGGTTCGGACTTGGAGTGTTGGAGTGCGCATCCAAGATGTGCTAGAGCTGTTAGCCAGTTAGGTGTAGAACGTCAGTACCATCAGTCAGTGTCGTGCAATGTTATCGCATGAGCTGATTGTCCAGTAACTGGTGGTGTTAGTGGACATTATAGCGTAACCTGTAGTTCCTTGGTCCTTTTTCTTTTGTATAAATGAAGGGTTCCTTTGTCAAACGTGGTACGTACCGTCATCCAGCCATTTCCTGTGTTATCTGATGGCTTGGGTCGCGAATAATGCTGTTGCGCGTTTTCTTTTCCTCTCAAAACTCGCACACTGTACAGAAGAGGTGTTTCAACATTGGCACAATACTAAAAGCGGTGGGAGATAATCAAGCCAGGCAGCTAATCCGCCCTGCACAGAGAGATGCCCTTTTTGAAATGTACTTTCTATAATTAATTGTTTGGGACCATGTACAGTACTGTCGGTCGCCGAAGAACTGGGCCATGAGGGGCCAGCCTCCTAGCCTAGACCGTTCTTGTTTCCATGTATTACAGATTGTGTACAGTTGAGTCCTCGTGTATTAGTGTTAAAACCGAACACGGATTCTTCGAACGAATAATCTATCGAATAATTTCGCCCTCCATCGAACGAATAATCTATATTCTATCATATACAGTCAAATCTGTCGTAAGCGACCGCCCCTTGGTGCAAGAAAAAGCGGTCGCTTACGGCAGATGGTCTCTTACGGCAGATGTATGGTAAATCCGGCATACCAGGTATATGCTTCCATGTACTCAAATCGACGAGAATAATGTGATTTTTAATATCATTTTTATTGGATATTCAACGACGACCATACCCGTATAGTACGCGTCTGCGACACGGCAGTAGATCGACACTGCCTGGACTTGAGAGCTACAGCACAGCCTCAGTACAGGCCAGGCGCCAGTCGATCGCACTTGCAAGACAGCGCATTTTCACACTTTGCAGCTGACAGCGCACTGGCATGAACAGTTTCGCACCTTACTGAACCTGGGTCGCGGTCGCTTACAGCAGATTTGAATGCAGCCACCGTGCATGAAATCGCGGTCGCTGGTCGCGCACAGCAGATGGTCGCTCTGGACTGATCAGTTTGTATCTGAAACCGTCGGTGCACCGAAAATCGGTCGCTAACAGTAGATGGTCGCCTACAGCAGAGGTCGCTAACGGCAGATTTGACTGTATACACATGATCGCATTTTTCAACACTTTTTCAGCACTTTTTAAGTATTTTTTTTTAATTTTTTGCTGATTATCGAATTTTGTTATGTGGAGGTGCAAAACCGGTTAACCTGTAGCGCCAAGAGTACATAACCCCCCCCCCCCCCCCAGAGTGTGCAACGCCTGATACAGCTCTGCATAGGGTCTTGGTCGAAAGTGGTCAAAGACCGAAAATCACATTCACTGCATCCATGTTTCCCTCGTATGGAAAGAACAGAAGTATTACTAGATACCGATAGGAGATTAAAACTTGGAGGAGAAGAGTTTGAGAAGAAAATACTACGAGCAGATCTACGCAGTGCAAATATCAGTAGGGTCAGCACTGAGCATAGATCGTTTTTTTGTTTGTTTGTTTTTTTGATTTCTGATAATTCCTACGACTATTCGATTATTCGTTCACCCCACGAATATTGTAAATAATTCGATTATTCGATTATTCGTTTCAACACTACCGTGTATACATTGGTATGCTGTGCTTGGTGAAATTCTAGCCTGGCCGTTCTTCGACGCCCCGTTCTTGGGCACCCCGTTCTTGGGCACCCCGTTTTTCGGCACCCCGTTCTTCGGCACCCCGTTCTTCGGCACCCCGTTCTTCGGCACCCCGTTCTTCGGCACCCCGTTCTTCGGCACCCCGTTCTTCGGCACCCCGTTCTTCGGCACCCCGTTCTTCGGCACCGCGTTCTTCGGCACCCCGTTCTTCGGCACCCCGTTCTTCGGCGCCCAACAGTACTAAAGTCAGAGCAGCTAACAATTACGTGTCCTGGACTTGTCACCTTGGTATAATTATACCAAGGTCGCACTCAGTGGGTGGGTGCAATCACTGCCATGAATCAATTCATGAATGGAATCCCATTGTTCGATTTCATGTCATGAGCCCTGGAGTCGGTTCGTAATCGATTCGTCCTAGTCTCATGGGGTGATGAGAACAGCCAGGGGGTAATTCATGAATGGATTCAAAATTGATGTGCATGCAAAATCGAACACACTCAGTGAGAATGAACCTTAAACCTGTCTTTGAAAACATGGTTCAGGTGTTGACAATGATTTCGTTGAATATTGGCTGCAAGTGCATTTTTGCAGAGCACTTAGGACACCTCCAGCCGCTTTTACGGGCAAAATACACGCAATGGATGGAATGCAATACTAATGCAAACCCAGAAAAAAACACTTAAGCACTAAGGAGCGGTTTTGTTGACCGTGGCCGGTATGCCCCTGCATATTTAACAGGTGAAGTCGGATAGAAGGCCAGGGTGACGTTCTATTCTTCTTTGAATCGTGTGTGTGTGTGTGTGTGTGTGTGTGCGTGCACGCGCGTGTGTGTATGTGTGTGACCAGATACCTACCAGAAGGCGGCTAACGTCATTCCGAGGCGAACAAGGGACGAGCACAGCGTCTTTCTCTCCCCCAATGCCGACCCAATCTCGCACTGGCATCATACCAGCAGCAGCACACAATCCAAGACCCGCGCGTTACTCACACTCTCCGCGTGGCAACCAGCCACCAACATCAAGGGGTCCCCGCGCCAGGAAGAAGAAATCGCAATTCAGCTCCTCGGGAGACGCTGATGTGTCTGACTTCACAAGTACTGGATTAGATGGTAGGTGACTCAGGCCCGGCGGAACCGGTCCGGTTGTTCAGGCCATGGCCGGACCAATTTTTTAGGCACCAACGTGTGTTTACTGCTGAGGAGGTCATGTGACTACCCTCCATATCATACACACAAACTGTATGAAAGTCATGTGACTACCCTCCATATCATACACAAACTGTATGAACGTCATGTGACTACCCTCCATATCATACACAAACTGTATGAACGTCATGTGTATACCCTCCATATCATACACAAACTGTATGAAAGTCATGTGTATACCCTCCATATCATACACAAACTGTATGAACGTCATGTGACTACCCTCCATATCATACACAAACTGTATGAAAGTCATGTGACTACCCTCCATATCATACACAAACTGTATGAAAGTCATGTGACTACCCTCCATATCATACACAAACTGTATGAAAGACAAACTTATGGCCGGACCAATCACAAGCTGCTTCCGCCTGTCCTGGACCGTGTAGACCTAGAAAACGTAAACCAGTGAATGTGATGGATTGACAGTAAACCAGTGAATGTGATGGATTGACAGTGAACCAGTGAATGTGATGGATTGACAGTAAACCAGTGAATGTGATGGATTGACAGTACATGCGATGGATTGACAGCATGTTGATTGATTCCTCCCCGGCTCCAATCTGCACATGTGTCAATCAGTCGTGTATGGAAGTTGTTATATTTCTACTACACAGCTTGCTATCATAGTATGCTGTGCGCAAAGTAGTATTTGATTGTGCGTTGGTGTTTCACCTCATCAAGAAACCTTCTAGGACTTCCGAGTCAGTTAGCATTTGTGAGAGCATTTTTAAACGGATTCGACTAGAGAATGTGTTAGTCGGAATGGGGACATAGCACAATCATTTATGTTCCTCTGACCCAGTTGCTGATGTGGACCTTTTTGACGATCTCTGGTGCTCAGTTGGGAATGGTGAATAATGTGCTCCTCTTCTGAGATGTTTATGCTCTGGTGTCTGGCCATGCACGTCTTGTGGCAGTACTTTGCTGAAGTACCGTCTGTCTTCTCAGCTGTCTCTTGTTCTGTCATCATCTCCAATATCCCTCTTGTCTGTGTCTGTCCGTATGTCTCTTTCTTTTTCTGTCTGTCTGTCTGGCTGCGCTCCTGTCTGTTTGAATACACTCTCTCTCTCTTTCTCTCCCATGGTCATCCTGGCTCTCTTCTCTGTGTGTTTATGCAAAACAAGATTCAACATTCAGCCCCCATTCGCCGAGAGTAAAACTGAGGAGGGACGCATGTAAGGAGGTTTGTTGTGTAGTCCACCGTGCCAGGCCAGACTTAGACTCACTCGAGGCCTTGCTAGTCTTTCTGAATCTGCCTGTCTTTTTCTTTTTCTTTTAAGAGGTGCGCTAGCTCCACTACAGCCACTTCATAACAGAGACCCCCCCCCCCCCCCCCTTTCCAACACCAGAGCAAATGGTCTCTTTGCAGCAAATGATGGCTCCATGGCCGATATTTTGCCGGATGGAGATAGTATAAAATTGCCGCAAAGAGACTAAGCTTAGGTGGTGATGCTGTAGGGTTTCCGTGTGATAATCACTATCAGCAAGATATCGGTGTGCATGGGTACCCTCTGTATCAACGGATCATTGTAATAGAATGTGTTACATTCATTGGACGCAGTTCCCACGGAGCATGTCTCTTTTTGATAGTCGACATATTTTGGGTTTAGATGTATCCGCTAAACGAGGCACCAATGCAGATTTTGCTCTCGTCGCGTATTTGTTTAACTGTCCACACGGGATTGGTTCAATGCATGTGACTGTCAGAGTGTTTGACTATCTGCTTATCTGTCTGTCTGTCTGGCTGGATGCCTGTCTATCTGGCTGGCTGGCTGGCTGGATGCCTGTCTGGCTGGCTGGCTGGTTGGATGCCTGTCTGTTTGCCTGCCCGTCCGTCCGTCTAAGTATTCTCATGCCACTCATTCTCTTTCTCTTTCTTAACGGGAACTTCTTCTTCTTTTCTGTTCAGCTGGTAATCAGAAGAAGGAAATTCAGGTCTGTTTTGCAGAGATACTCACCCACCTCAAAATTCACGCCAATATGGTGCCAGACGACTTGACCGCGACGGACACCAGTAAGAGTACGTTGATGTGTATGGTGTCTTAAGTTTTGGACATACTCGTATCCTATATGAGGTCTCCTCCGAGGGGTGGCCCTTACTCATTGAGTTCCACTGCACTTTTGCGTTCCTTCTTTCACTCTATTGAACTTTGACGTTTGGCATGTTTGCTTGCCCGTCTGTAAGTCAACAAATAATCGGCGCATATATATTTTCGGCTGTTATGTTTAGCCGAAAATTTGTTGCGGCCGAAATGTTGTTTCACAATGTTCTGTGTGACAGTGTATACATGCGGCAGCAGTACAGACCAAAAATTTGATGCGTCCGAAAGGGGTTTTAACCCTGGGAGGCCAAAATGTTAGGCTTACAGTAAGGGGCTGTTCCGAGAGCCAGGGAAACTCCCGCCAAGTTCCCCTACAGCATCATTGGTTCTCAATTCTCACGTAGGCAACTTCCGACGGCATGCATAGGAGTCCGTATGAAGAGTCTGAATGCAAAACTCGACATGCGGTGTCATCCCTTTTCGTAAAATGGCCGAAAACCGGTTGACTTGACGTGCCGTTTGCATCTGAATTCATACATGGGTGCCTATTGTCAAGTTTCTCTGGTCAAATTATTATGGAATATGGTAATAGGCGTTTCGGAGGAAGAACTCTCAGCAAAGCAATGAATAAAAGCAATTGAAGCCGACATAATACCATGATAGAAGAAGTCGAATTTAGAAACGCTTTTCTTCAATGGTCATCAGTGAACCTACATCGAATAATGTATAATAGAATAAATACCAGAATATATGCTCAAAGCATGTGTGTGTGTGTGTGCGCGCGCACGAGCGCGCGTGAGTGCATGTGTGTGATCGTGTATATATGTGTACGCGTGCACGTGCACGATCCTGTGCATGCAGAACTTCCAGGGCGTGTCTACAGGGCCGACTTTACGAGTTGCGTGCGCAGTGTGCTGAACCGGGACATGCATCTTCCGGACGTGAAGAGAAGTACAGCATTTACCAGATTATTTTGAATGTTCTAGTTCACCCTTTACATGCCACATGTGCCCGTTCTAATCTGGATACAAACAAGTCCATAAAAAAATGCTTACCAATGAACTCTGACCACTACTGAGTGTCCACAGCATGATGTGAAACGGGGACGTGTGTTGTCAGCTGGATTGTACTGGTTGTACAGCTGAAGTGTGAAACGGACGGCTTTACTTGGAGAGCTGTTAATGGTTTGCTGTTTGTGATCGGCTTTGCTTGGAGAGCTGTTAATGGTGTGCTGTTTGTGATCGGCTTTGCTTGGACAGCTGTTAATGGTGTGCTGTTTGTGATCGGCTTTGCTTGGACAGCTGTTAATGGTGTGGTGTTTGTGATCGGCTTTGCTTGGACAGCTGTTAATGGTGTGCTGTTTGTGATCGGCTTTGCTTGGAGAGCTGTTAATGGTGTGCTGCTTGTGGTCGGGCTACAAAAGCCAGTACAGTTATCCGTTGCAAAGTATGCCCTCAGACCCAGCTTATCACTGTCCATACTAGAGTCAGTGCACTGGAATAACAGTATGGTGTTGTCTTAGCCCCCCCCCCCCGTTACATACGTACATACACGCACGTGCACACACACTCACACATACATGTACACACACACACGTGCACACACACACATACACGTGTGTGAGCAAACCTCCATCCATGCAAGCACATGTTTTCCTCGTTTGGTTAGGAGACGCTTTCACTTTTCTTTATCTCATGGCCAGCTACACTCGGGCAGCTAGTTTAACTCACTCGTTCACACTGGTTACGTTTTGTGCTACTTGAAACATCAGGGTACATCAACTCAAACAATCAAAACCCAGTCTCTTTGCTGTATACTTCAAGAGCTCACCAAATTGTGGGGCATGGCCAATTCTTATCACTTTCCTACAGCACCTCATTGCATATCTACTCAATTCGTTGTTTGTTGTCGTCGGGTTTTTTTTCTTCTGTTTGTTTTCAATCCGATGATGGGCCATGCCCGAAAATTTGGTGAACACTTCAAGTTATGTATGCAGCAAAGAGACCGCATTTGGAGTGTTTGAGCAAGATGAGGCACTTTTTAAGAAGGTGTTATTGGCTGCAGTGGAGTCTGTGACGATTACTTTTAACAAATGCGTTTCGGAAGCCAGCCACACTTTTTCTTCCTTTGTTGATTCACTCATCAAATTGTTGTGCTCTGCAACTTGCTCTTGTCCAATCTTCTCTATATACAGGTGGATGTGAATGGGAGACAACTAGTCATGGGAATACTCTGCCAGCGCGACAGCCTCAGTCGACGCCAACCAGCAAGGGTGAATCAGGAGCTGAAAGAGACGTCCCACGGCCCACGTATGTACATGAAAATGGATCACAGAATGCTGTGAATACATGTACATCTGTCTTTGCACGTGCTATTCACACCTGCATGCATATGTGTATGCCCGTGCGTATGAGGGTGTCACAATTCCTAGCTTTGGTTTTCTCATGCCACTGCAAAAAAAATACCCTCCCCATGGTTGTCAACATCATCGTTGTTGTTGTCGTTGCTGATGCTGTTCTTGCTGCTGCTGCTGCTGCTGCTGCTGTTGTTGTTGTTGTTGTTGCTGCTGCTGCTGCTGCTGCTGTTGCCGCCGTCATTGTCGTCGTCATCGCCGCCGCGGCTGCTGTTGCTGTTGTTGTCATTGCCGCTGCCGTTGTCGTTGTCGTCGTTGTTGTCGTTGTCATTCCTGTTCCTGTTCATGTTTGTTCTTACTGCTGTTGTTGTTGTTGATATTTGCCTGCTCTGCATCTGTGCTTGTACATCTAGTCTACTAGTGGGCAACCATTACTTGAGGCGCATCCGTGATCTGCATCAGTTTGCGGAGGAACTAACTAAAATGCTGACGCTAAAAGGCTGCGGTAAGTTTCAGGTTAGCGGACGAGGGAGACCAGCTGTGCAGAACAGCCTAGTAAACATTGGGAGCTAGGAACCACTTTTTAATTATATAATCGGCCCTCTTTAATCCGGCACTTTATAAACCAGCACCTTCTTTAAACCAGCACCATTTTCAGTAACCAAAAGGTCCTCGTCATGAGACTGCAGCAGAAAATCAGATTTGATAATCCAGCACCCTCCCTAATCCATCAGAATTTCCTTACATAGATGGTGCCATGTTATAAAGGGACCACTGTATTTCACATTCAACACTTCATTGATGACTGTGCCGTCACACTGCTGTGTCGTAAAATTTACACTCAGCTTCGTGGCCGTAAAATCCGGCGGCACGTCATTTTTCCAATAATCGACGTTGAGAAAGTAATTTAATTACACAAGTATGGAGAGTAAAAGAGATGCAGACATTACTAATCATCATCAGCTGTCCGGCGTGAGCTGTTATGTTAACCATTTAGCGTGCATGGTTCGAAATCGATCCGTAGAGACTTGGGCACTCACTCATGCACTCTATTGATCGTAACTCAGTCACATCTCAACCGAATTTCAACACAAAATAGCAGGTGGTGGAAAGTCTCAACTGTTAGTGCGAACAACTCCCAGCTCTCTCCGGTGAAGTTTGAGCGAATCGCGTGCGATCGAACTTTCACGCTTGCACGCGGAACAAATTTTCACAATTTTTGCGCAGAACATGGGTTTTCCCTGTCCCTGCAATGTTATGGTGGAAAAAATCGAACAATTAGTAATCACATTGTTGCAAATTTCCTAGCGTGATTTGACAAGTGGCACTCTGAAAGGGTTGATCGCTTAGTTTCTTCTATTCTTTTCTTCATCACACCTTCAACAGCGATTATTTATTATTCCTTTCGATGTAATCCACCTCAGTTCCGTATATTCCACCGAAATACTGAGCACGAAAATTGCAATTCTGGAATATAGTTGTTCTTCAGAAACTTGCATTCAGCGTTTTGGTTATTAGTAATGGCTGCATCTCCTAGTTATACTCTTCATAGCTACAATGACATCATTTTCAATATGTTTTATTGTGTACTGATCAACACCGAGTGCAGTCAGGCTAGACACAGACATACTAGTTCGGGGGGGGGGGGGGGGGGGGATACTATGGAGACTGAAGATGAGTTCGGGTTGATAATCCACGGCCCTCCACACCAACATACAATGTATATAAATTCTGTTGTCAGTAACTACTTCCTCCGCGTCATCGAAATTGTCGCAGTTTGACTAGTGACTTGTCACTTGTTACTGACAACTCCATAAGCTAAGCCATTCAAAACTTATTACACAGTATGATAGTCTGAAGACTAGAGTAACGTTCCAGAACAGTTGGACTGAGAGTTTTCATGCAGAGATGAAGTCCTCGTCGTCGCTGATGTCAATGGACGCAAAAATATCGTTCCGAAATATTTCAAGGAAGGTTGAAAGTTGGTCGCGCCTCATCTCAAACGCTTTGACTTTCTCCACAGGACAAGAGCTGCTATGCTTGCCGTCTGCTAGCTCTGGATGATTTCTACTTCACCACCAACGAAGCCTAGTAAGAATACACGATCGTTGCGAGGTCGGTTGATTACCGTCGCCGGAATCACCTCGATCTTGAAATGACCTTTTTTTTAGCCGTGGCATGCCCATTTATTTTAGCTGTTTGGTCACAGCTCAGGTAAGTGTACTATCGCGTCCAGCGGGCCCTGTTTTTCAGCATCACTGGTATACCATGGCACGGCACCTGCGCGTGCATCACTAGCACTACGTATAGAGTCTACACGGCTCTTGCAGGTACAATCATGTTCTGAGTGTCTCAGCCAGAGCAACAAATTTTATCGCTGTTGCAGGCATTTAGTTTGCTGACCCCTCAATGTTTCTCCAAGCGCTGCCACTTGTTCCACGAAGTCATTCTCACCCCAGCTAAGGTAAAACAGTGATGAGGCTTGAGTGAATGGCCATAAGCACGAGAAATGTGCAGGCTGCAACGCCTGACTGATCTCCGCGAGTCGAAATTACCATCGCAGCGACATCAGCGAAGAAATTGCGTCTAGTTCAAAAATTCCAGCTTCCAATAACAGAAAATAGAACTTTACCGTCACCCTATATTGATGACTATCGCCTATATCCCATTCCCTGCCTCTGGTACGAGTGCTGGTGAGTAAATACCCCGTTTTATATCAAAAGTCAAACTGCGACAATTTCGATGACGCGGAGGAAGTACTTGCTAACCTAGCTAGTGTTGAGTTCGAAACAAGACGACTGACGACACATTATCCAGACATTACAACGGGAACAGGTAGGTTGGGGACGACATTTATTATACTAGTAGACGACGAGACAAGAGACCAAGACGAACGAAACGACTACATTGAAGAGTGAGAAAAGAGAGTGAGAAAAGAGAGAGAGATCAATCAAGTCTGAACGGCAAGATAGAGGGCCTGGGTAGCTATGGCAAATATGGGCGCGCAAGTAGCTACCCAGGCCAACGGAACAAAAGGAGACAAAAGGTGAGTACGCAAGTGCATGCAGGCCAGCTAGAAAAGGTACGGGAGGAGGTACCTAACATACCACCCCTCCATGAAAAAAATCCCGCGTCCTCGCGAGAGAAAAAAAAGAGAGAAAAAGATTTTAAAAAAATTAATGAAGGAGAAAAAACACACACACACACAACGCACGGGCCTCACAAAAGTTTGTACTAAAAAATGCACTACAGATCATTACAACCGTCAACGTTCCTGTACTACTCATACTTTAGTGTGTACATTGCCAATAACAACGGGCCCAAACGCCCCTTCAAAACATGGCACAAAAAATAACTATTGGAGTTCGACGAGGGACTTGAATTGTATTCTGATGACAAGTATTTTGCACGGCTAATAGAGCCTAGTTACACTTTAATATACGACATAAATAAGAGAGCGTGGCTCACCATGATCGGACCCCTAATATTAATTAAGGACACCCGCACGCACACACACTACAAAAAAATTCACGAAAATAAATTTGACGAAGAAGGAACGCATACAAAAAAAAGAAAGAGAGAAAGGTAGCTGACCTGCATGGCTTGAACGACACGAGGTTGACATAGACGAAGTTGGCGTAGGAGAGACGAGGTTGATAGAGACGAGACGAGGTTGGCGTAGGAGAGACAAGACTGACATGGATGAGACGAGGTTGACATAGACGAGACGAATGGCGGTTGAGGACGGCTGGGATGATCTCAGGGTCGTGGGTCGCTCAATAATCGGGAGCCAATGTTGAGTTCGAAACAGTACGACTGACAACGGGAACAAGTTAGTGGGAACGACATTTATTATAGACGACGAGACAAGAGACCAAGACGAACGAAACGACTACATTGAAGAGTGAGAAAAGAGAGTGAGAAAAGAGAGTGAGAAAAGAGAGAGAGATCAATCAAGTCTGAACGGCAAGATAGAGGGCCTGGGTAGCTATGGCAAATATGGGCGCGCAAGTAGCTACCCAGGCCAACGGAACAAAAGGAGACAAAAGGTGAGTACGCAAGTGCATGCAGGCCAGCTAGAAAAGGTACGGGAGGAGGTACCTAACACTAGTATATTAGCAAAAAAAGGACTGTAGCTAAACAGTGTCTCTCACTGCAGAATTAATATTGAAGGTCGAACCTTTTTCGAAATGTCGGTTAACTCTTCTGAAGCTACTCAAATGCTATTCACAACTTCTCCATCTCACAAACGGTCTTTTCAATGCGAAGAACTGCTGCCCCCCCCCCCCCCCCCTCCCGTTCATGTTGATGGGCGAAGCCTGACTGATTTCTGAAAATCCTGTAAGACTCGGATGGAGAGCCAAGGATTAGAATTATGGAAAGGTCCAAAATGTTACATGTTGTCCGTCGCATCCTGCATAAGTTATAGCTGCTAGTGTTGGACACAAACTACGCGTAGCAGGTAACTGTTTGGTCCTTTCTTTAATTAAAAGTCTTGTTTTTGCAAGAAAGAGACTGATTGGAAGATGACAAAGTTATGAGGCAGTTGAAATTGACCTTTTTAGCAGACGGTAAATCTGACAAAGAAGAGTGGAACTCTGACTGTGCTAGAAAATGTTCTGTGCTTTATGTAAGGTAGCATTGCCACTGCCGATTGTTTCGAATCTTTATCCTCACGATGGCTTGTTTTTGTTGTTGTTGTTGTTGTCGTTGGTGGTGGTGGTGGTGGTGGTTGTGGTGGTGGTTGTGGTGGTGGTGGTGCTGCTGTTGTTGTTTTTGTTGCCATGCTCGTATTATGCTGCATTCTCTGCAGAGGACGTGGCTCGCAAGATTGTGAAGCGCTGCGACAGGTCCACTTTCTTCAACTTTCCGGCCGCACTACGCCGCTACATGCTCTTGCAAGGGTATAAAGAATCTACGCTGGAACTGTACTACATACACGGCGCTATATCGTACTGGAAAGGTAAAGAGCCCAGTGCCACCACCGACCACCTGCTCGACATCATCAAGAGCGTTGCCGGCAACGTGGCTGATCGTGCTGCCTCCGTTGGACGGTAAGTGTGACCAAGCCTTGCTGCTCACGTACAACAGACTGTGTTCTCAACGGATGCATGTACAATGTACGAGGTGTGTGTGTGTGTGTGTGTGTGTGTGTGTGTGTGTGTGTGTGTGTGTGTGTGTGTGTGTGTGTGTGTGTGTGTGTGTGTGTGTGTGTGTGTGTGTGTGTGTGTGTGTGTGTGTGTGTGTGTGTGTGTGTGTGTGTGTGTGTGTGTGTGTGTGTGTGTGTTTGCAGTTCAAGTCCACCCAGGTGTGCACTCAGTCTTGCATGAACACCTCATGATTCTAGCCGCACAACATCCGAAGTGTTCACCGTGACATGAAAGGACTAGCAAGTGTTCTAGGACGCACCTGAAACGGGATACAGCAACTTGATTATGGGGATATTTATTTCAACCGCATATCCAGACACACATTCTCTTCTGCTTCGTTCTTCTTACAGAGAGGTCAGCACCGACGGTGATTCACTGAGTAGCTGGAGACGGCAACGCCACAACAGCCGATAAGCAAGCGGAAGCTAGGTCATAGTCATACGCACCATTTCAGTTGCGGTGTTCCGTGTGCCGAGGTCGAACGGATCTGATCCAGTGCCCCACGGATACGAGCAATGGAGCCGTTTCACACCTCCGTCATGTGACATGTGTCTACTAGTACATGTATGCATGTAGCCTTAGCCGCTGTGTCACGAGCTATGAAGCCGAGACCTCTGGTCGGCTGAACTTAATAAGCCCCACCACCACACTCCATTATTGACTTCAGTGTGTGGAGATACGTGGGTTTTGTAGGAGAAAGATGTGATGTTTGTGTACGAAACTCCCACTACATGCGCACAGTGGGACCGACTGCACCGACGTCGTGTGACTGCAGACTTTCGCTATCAACACGACTGCGCCATTATTTTGCTAATGTGGTCATGTGACATACCCCCCCCCCCCCCCTTGGTACGTTCCGCAGTGCTATGATGAGTGCGAGGTGCGAACATGCCTCTTTTCTGAACCTCCCCCCCCCCTTACCAAAGCCTGTCGGTGATGGTCGACAGTTCTACATCCTTCTTTCTTCTAATGTCATGCTAGCTTGTTCCGCATGCCTCGTTACACGGCCTTTATTAGTGCTTCAAAATAGCTTTGAGACTTTACCCCGAACAATGAGGCAACCATGGAACTATCATGGCGACACATTGCCAAGAGATGTTATTAATTTTAGTTTAAAATTTTGAATATTCACTTCTAGAGAAACGTGCATGCGCTGTGGTTCGTGTTGATTTCTTGAATCGGTTTGCTGTCGTGATGACTGCTGACCACCCGCATACTGGGTTTTCGGTAGTGTTGTCGTGATGACTGCTGACCAACCGCATACTGGTGGTAGTGTTATCGTGGTGACTGCTGACCACCCGCATACTGGTGGTAGTGTTGTCGTGGTGACTGCTGACCACCCTCATACTGGTGGTAGTGCTGTCGTGGTGGTGACTGCTGACCACCCTCATACTGGTGGTAGTGTTGTCGTGGTGACTACTGACCAACCGCATACTGGTGATAGTGTTGTCGTGGTGACTGCTGACCACCCGCATACTGGTGGTAGTGTTGTCGTGGTGACTGCTGACCAACCGCATACTGGTGGTAGTGTTGTCATGGTGACTGCTGACCACCCTCATACTGGTGGTAGTGTTGTCGTGGTGACTGCTGACCACCCGCCTACTGGTGGTAGTGTTGTCGTGGTGACTGCTGACCACCCGCATACTGGTGGTAGTGTTGTCGTGGTGACTGCTGACCAACCGCATACTGGTGATAGTGTTGTCGTGGTGACTGCTGACCACCCTCATACTGGTGGTAGTGTTGTCGTGGTGACTGCTGACCACCCGCCTACTGGTGGTAGTGTTGTCGTGGTGACTGCTGACCACCCGCATACTGGTGGTAGTGTTGTCGTTGTGACTGCTGACCAACCGCATACTGGTGATAGTGTTGTCGTGGTGACTGCTGACCACCCTCATACTGGTGGTAGTGTTGTCGTGGTGACTGCTGACCACCCGCATACTGGTGGTAGTGTTGTCGTGGTGACTGCTGACCACCCTCATACTGGTGGTAGTGTTGTCGTGGTGACTGCTGACCAACCGCATACTGGTGGTAGTGTTGTCATGGTGACTGCTGACCACCCTCATACTGGTGGTAGTGTTGTCGTGGTGACTGCTGACCACCCGCATACTGGTGGTAGTGTTGTCGTGGTGACTGCTGACCACCCTCATACTGGTGGTAGTGCTGTCGTGGTGACTGCTGACCAACCGCATACTGGTGATAGTGTTGTCGTGGTGACTGCTGACCACCCGCATACTGGTGGTAGTGTTGTCGTGGTGACTGCTGACCAACCGCATACTGGTGATAGTGTTGTCGTGGTGACTGCTGACCACCCTCATACTGGTGGTAGTGTTGTCGTGGTGACTGCTGACCACCCGCATACTGGTGGCAGTGTTGTCGTGGTGACTGCTGACCACCCGCATACTGGTGATAGCGTTGTCGTGGTGACTGCTGACCACCCGCATACTGGTGGTAGTGTTGTCGTGGTGACTGCTGACCAACCGCATACGGGTGGTAGTGTTGTCATGGTGACTGCTGACCACCCTCATACTGGTGGTAGTGTTGTCGTGGTGACTGCTGACCAACCGCATACTGGTGGTAGTGTTGTCATGGTGACTGCTGACCACCCTCATACTGGTGGTAGTGTTGTCGTGGTGACTGCTGACCACCCGCATACTGGTGGTAGAGTTGTACAGTACATGTGATTGTATTGATCAATGGAATCCGATAAAGCGAGTGAACGCCAGGCCGGGCCGGGCACTGTGCAGTCCTGGACCTGCGAACACTGGCAAGTGAACTGGTTCAGGGCGCATACTGTAAAGTGAGAAACTTTTGCTAGAGATTAAATTTCGCTATTTTCGCGACCATCACACATTCGCGAATATAAAACGCCGCAAACCCCTCCGTGCATTGATTGTAGACAGCACAAGATCCGACTGAAAAGATAGAATCGCAAAAGTTTCTCATCATAAACCAGCCAAATTTATGAAAACGCTAAGTTTGCGCGCCGCGAAAGTTTGTCGCTTTACAGTACTTGACTCTCGAGCACACTTTCATTGAGCAGCACTGCACATCACTCGCGGTTAACTAATGACATGCCGTCTTGCACCGCGTCGTTAATATTCATGACTTTTTTAATGCAAATGCTGCAGCCGTCAAACTTCCCATTGCAGATAGCAAAAGTTGATTATTGGCAGCTTTGAAAGCAAGTCTCGCTTCAGTTTGAGCAATAGACATGTCCTGGCTTCCTTCCCTGAGTGTATGGCTTCATACTTCTTGAAATACATAATAATTATGTATTTCAAAAAAAAGTAAGTTTCCTTCTCCAATAATTATTATTGGAGAAGGAAACTTACTTTTTTTCTTTGCAATAGCGGTAGACATGGCCAACCGAGGGCTGGTTTTTTTTATTGGTTTGATTAATTTATTTCTTACTCACTAATTCCATTGTAGCCAATCGCACACATCTTTTTTATAAATTTATTGTGTAATTTTGAATAATGGCTAGTGACTTGACTGGAATTGTTTTGACGTTTATTTTGCAAGGCAAGCTTGCAGTTTATAGTGAAGAAAAAGTACCAAGAGACTACAAGTTAGGCTATAATGTCCTTGGCTCTCCATCCGAGTCCAAGCTTGCACTTGCAGTTCTTCCACTTTTGCAAAATTGCCGCATACTTCTTCTTTTTTTCTTCTTTTTTTGAGTACGCACGGATCGAAAATTTGTACAATTTTGCACTCCATGCAGTGGACGAAAATACGTGTTTGTTTGTGTGACCGGGTACACATCCGGGAAGGTGCCAGCCGAGTTCAACAATTAAACTATTTTTCCGATGCGAACTCTAAAACCAGAAAAATAATAATATGTAGCGCAAAATAAAGAGAAGGAAAATAATAACCGGTCAAGCGCTAAATACAAATAGTCACATAGTGATATCTTTGCTCACCTCCATGTCGCTGTGAGTCGAGCTGGAAACTGGCTATCCAAGTGGCATTTACTTGCCCCCCCCCCCCTCCCCCCCCCTCCCCCAACTAAAATAGTCGTCGAATAAACGCCGCGGAGACAACAATTTTAATATAGCAATAAAAAGAACTAACTTTGCCGTAACGATCATGCATCAACTTCAATGATGAAGTTGACCCCCCGTGGATGTCTGAGCCGCCGTTCCGGGAACTCATGTTGCTCGTTACGACTGGTGTTGAGTTTTCGTTCAATGATATTATGTATAAACAAATTGATGGTGTCGGTATGGGATCATCGTTAGGTCCAGTTTTAGCGAATGTGTTTGTTGGTTATTGCGAGTCTTTGATTGCTGAGTCGTCCCGGCCCGCGCTATACTGCCGCTTTGTGGACGACTCGTTCACATTTTTCGACACTCTTGAGAGGAGTCAGGCCTTCCTTGATACTCTAAATGGCTTACACCCACCCATAGGGTTTACTTGTGAACACGAACAAGACAACAAGTTGTCCTTCCGGGATGTTCTGGTCCAGAAGTCTAGTCAGAGTACAGTAACATCTGTTTACAGAAAGCCAACTTTTACCGGCCAGTACATAATTTTCGAATCGTATTGTTCATATCAATACTTGGAAGTATAAGATAAACTAAGTGCGCAACTTAGTGGATAGAGCGGAACGTATTAATTTTGCTCTCGGCCGAAACTTGCAGAAGAACTTGACTTCTTGAAGTCAGTGTTTCTCAAGAGCGGATATCCCGAAGAACTACTGAACAAATTAATGAACCAAAGAATACAACAGAATGAAGTATGGTTTGGCCATGAGAAATGTCCAATGTATTTATCTCTCCCGTGGAAAGCGAACGTGTCATTATCTATGTGCCTTGCAGTCCGGACAATTGTCCAACAAACCTACTTCGCGGTGCACTTCGTAGTTTACCAATTTGAGTGCCGACGATGTGGTAGTCGGTACGTTGGTAGGACTCTTCAACATCTGAACGCACGTATCAAGCAGCATGTTCCCCTTCAAATGTTGTCTGGTTCGGCACGGGCACTGCTGCCCAAGCGAGGCAGACCACCGAAGAATCCGGAACCACAGCCGTTGCTGGTAAAATTGCCGCCACCGGCGAGGTTATCCTCGTTACCTATGACCGAATGTACTGGACCCGTGGCCAGAACCAGGTCCGGAGTCTTGCGAGCTGATGGAACACCAGAAGCTGAATTTACATCGAATGCACTGGAGCTTATCAGTAGGCTCCTTACGGACACAACTCAAGTTAGTACGCTCCTTACGGACACAACGCGAGACAGTCGAACAACACAAGAGTGCACCCAGCAGCATTCAGCTCCAGTCGTGGCCAAACGACGCAATGAGGAGGTGGATCCAGTACCGCCGCCAGTACCATTGCCCCCACCGGGGCCGCCACCTAAATCAACAAATAGGCCAGGAATCGAGAGACCAAGAAGAACAACTGCGAAGTACTCATATACCAGATACCAGATAGCGGACATCAAGAAACTATGAGGACAACTGCAACATCAAGTGCAAGTACTTCAGTACTTACCTTACTAGTGAAATGAGGAGTCAACCAGCGGCGTCGAATGGACATGGACAGGATGCAGTAGTGACCGAGGTCGAGCAGGAGGATGGAGCGGAGGAAGAGTCGGAGATTGGCACGGATGAGGGATCGGAGGATGACATGGATGATGGTGATGATGAGTTGCATGGAGATGATGATCGTCAGAATTCTGCTGTGTTTTTGCATTTGTAATCTCACCCTAAGTGTTTGGAAGTGTATGATGATTTTGTGTTTCTGTGTTGTGTCGTGCACGTTACCCCCGTCAGTTGAAGGTTCTTGAAGCAGTGTGTATTCGTTTGCGTAAGTCTGTGCTCTGTAAACAAAAGAAGCTTGTTGTTGCGCTGAAATTGTTTTGTTTAAAAGTTCTTCCCCTGTTTGTCCACAGTTTGTTTCTCTCACTTCACAGTTGTCACATTCTGGTTTTCTCGCCTTCTTTTTGTGCCACCTACACCTACTTACCATGTGTTGTTGCTTTCTTGTAAGTTTTATCACATTTTGGAATGCATATTAAATGATGGTGAAAAAAGGAGGACAAAATGTTACGAGTTCTGACTAACTGTCCACCAACGTAACCAGATCTTATACAGTTAGTCATAACTCGTAACATTTTGTCCTCCTTTTTTCACCATAATTTAATTGGCTCACCATCCGAGTTAAACTTTGCATATTAAATGATTACGTTTTAATCATTGTTTTTGCTGGGCTAGCGTTCAATTCAGTCAGGATATTTCACTGATGATGGTGACATGAAAATCGTTATGGAAAACAATTGACTTCGTTGATGCATGATGGTTACGGCAGAGGTAGTTCTTTTTATTGCTATATTAAAATAGTCGTCTTCGCGTTAACACCTACAAGCCCCTGAATGTCAAACTGTGTGGCACTAACCTACGCCAAGTCACTGAACAACGACACCTCGGCATCATCATACATGTACAGAACCATAATGCGATGGGATCGAGTACGTTCAATCCAAGGCCTCCAAAGTAACTCACAAGGCCGAGCGTCATGAGGTCCATCTGCGTATGCCACGTAAGTCGTCGTCCCTCCTGATCAACAGAGGCAACACCGGCAGCAGAAACTGCGGGATTTGAGTTCGGTTCAGACAGTCTGGTCGTGAAAACAAGGACCTCAGAAAAAAGAATGTCGAAAGGAAAGGAAAAACTCTCATGTGATCGCGGAACGAAAAGTCGACAGACCAAACTTCGTTGTATTGATGTTTCTGGAAGCTCGTTGTACCGGTAAGTATAGTTACTCGTTCCCAGGCTTCAAAATTTTTAAAAGGAAAATTCAGAAAAATTTCGCTATGCTAAACCTCTATAAATATAATACAGTTGAACATCGATTATCCGACCACCTCTGGGCAGACAACTGTCAGGCGGTGTTCAGATAAGGCAAATGTTCCGGATAAGAAAAAACTGTCACTCACACACTTTCAGTGGTTGCTACTAGCCGCACGACCTTTTTACTTTTCAAAATTTTCGTATTTTTTGAATGGCTCACTACATGCACAGTGCGTACTCTACGGCACGTGCGCCCAAAAAAACTGTTACGGATAATCGAATGGTCGGATAGTCGATGTGCGGATAATCGATGTTCAACTGTACTCATAAAAAGGACACACTTCAGGCGCTTTACGAACATCTTGAAAGTTTTTGGTTTCACAAGTATACGTTCAAGCCTTCTCATCAGGTGCAATACAGGCAAGGGAAAAGGAACAGGAAAAACAGCGCAAAGAATAATAATTATAGCTAAAGTAAACAGCGAAAATGCGTGACCTATGCACATAGCAATAATGACACGAAGGTGCAAGTGCGAGAAAACTCAATAAGCGTGACATGTAGTGCGACAACAAGAGACAACCACTGGACATAACTAACGAGGTTTTGACGACCTACCTAACAGCCCAAGTGTGAATTTAATTTGCTTCTGCTTGCAAAACCAAAACCTTTCAAGATGTTCGTAAAGAGCATGAAGTGTCCTTTTTTTTTTTTTTTTTTAGTATTATCGCATTTTTGTTTCAGAGGAAACTGTTTACTCTATAAATATATTCACGAAATAGAGGTTGCGACTTCGGCGATGATTTTGTTTAGGAATGGCCCGGTTTGCTCCCACACTGGAGCTCGCGCTATTCCGCCGACGACTTGACACTTGACTGACTCACGACTGCCATCCAGAGAACACGAGAAGTCCATCGAACTTTCGACTCCGCAAACCTGCAAGAAAGCACCACTCCCTGCTCAATACACAGTGTTTCGGGGAATTCACCCCTCATCAGTTGAGCTTGAGTAGGCACAAACTTCCTCAACCTACTCAAGCTCAACTGATGAGGGGTGAATTCCCCGAACCACTGTGTATTGAGCAGGGAGTGGTGCTTTCTTGCAGGTTTGCGGAGTCGACAGTTCGATGGACTTCTCGTGTTCTCTGGATGGCAGTCGTGAGTCAGTCAAGTGTCAAGTCGTCGGCGGAATAGCGCGAGCTCCAGTGTGGGAGCAAACCCATTCCTAAATATAATCACCATTATTTAATTGCATCTCTCTTATTGGCCAATGGCCATCGTGAGAAATAATAGCAATAATAATAACACAAACCTGATGATGGATTATGAACAGTCAGACGTGCACAAGGTAGCACCAGATTGACAAGGAGTGCTGAGACATTCCACGGCGAGGAAGTGAGCTGGAGCACTGCTAGAGATAGCGCTAACCAACAGCCTTCCAACCTGTCACCGTGGACTGTCTCAGTACTCCATATCAGTCTGGTGCTACCTTGTGCACGTCTGACTGTTCAAAACCTGGTTTAGTTGGTGGACTCTAACGCATGACTTGTGCCCCACCATTTTCCTTGTTTCCATTAATATTTTCCTTGGCTCGCCATCTGAATACTGGTGATGGAGACAAGCATTATTGGTTGGTGCTCAATGAACAGCCTTTTGCACATAATTATGTCACTCCAAATATGGATATCATGCATGATGCAACCCCATGTGTCCCCCCCCCCCCCACCTTCCCCAAAGCACTCACATACTTATATTAGGTTAGTTATGCACACACACACACACAAACTAAAGCTGTTCACAGGTCCGATTTCACATTGCAACTGTGGAGGCATCAAGGAAAGAGCGAATATTGCATTGTGCAAGATTTACTGAGAAGAGAGCCTACAGGAAGGAAAATAATTTCAACTCAGAGGTTCCAGAATACACAAACGGAGTATACGGGTGAGAATGATATTCACTTAAAGGTCCAAGTATTATGTACAGGGGATGCTGTGGCGTGCAACTAGTTTTTGGAACAAATTTCGTGACCAGCCATATTGATGTGAAAACAGAGATTATCAACAGTCTGATGGAAAAGAGGAAGTATTATGCATAACAGTTTGCGTACTGCAGTCATCATCAGTGATTGACTGTAGTTAGTAACCTACTACACTCACACACTCATATCCAGTGTGTACAGAGCAGTAGGACTGACAGGTCCATGGGCACCTATACTGAGTACCAGTGTACTGCCAAACAGTGTGAGAGATGGGGTGTAATCAATGTACACTGGCATAGCTGGTAGTGAATGGATCTGACGAGATGTAATATCATATACAACACACTCAGCAGCAGGAGTGTGGGGGCAAATAACCATGCTATGCTCAGACAGCGCGCATGCTGCACTACCCACCAGCTCAACACCATCCGGTGGACTGGTGGAAACCCACCTACCATCATGGTGTTTAAGGAAACAACATGTACCACCACCAACCATGTACATTGAATCAGGGAATGGGACAAGTGATGCTTCGCGGCATGGTAGTGGCAATGAAGGTAATACTAGGCCAGTATCGTGTAAAGCAGAAGAAGAGCTCCACTGCTGACTAGCTAGAGAGTAGATACTAACATGATCATGATGGACGCCACCATATAGAGAAATAGAATCATGACATACATGTAGAGTACACCAGCTATGGTTACAGTGCGACGGGACGTCCGTAACTTTGGCCCATTGACGACCACCACCACCGCGGCCGCCATCACCGTTATCTGGTGTGTCGCAGTACTGCAGAATAGAGCGCACACCCCTGGTGGTGCTCTTGGGGAGTGTGTTACAGTACATGTACAGCATACCACCATGGGATGCCAGTGATGGGGTAGCCAGCTTACTGTATTCACTTGGTAGGTCAATACTGCGCCATGTTTTCAGGTCTGAAGTCTGCACGATCTTGGTGATGACCATTTCCACACCATCATACCACACAGCAACCAGTCTGTCACTGTACGTGGCTACTAGGGCACGTTTGCCATGCTGCCGTACTTCCTGCCGTACTTCTAACTTTTTCCACTGCATTAGAAAAGAAAACCACACACCGGATAACATGCACACAAAACACACACACACACACACACGCACACATTTACACACACAAAACACACACACACACACACACACGCGCACACAAACCCCACATAATAGGAGACATGCACAGAAATGGACACAAATTGGTCCCTATTGTACAGAAAAGGACACCATAGCAGACGATAAACAGACAGACACAGTGAGGTGGTCTAAGACCAGGATTTAGAACGAGAGGTACCAGGTTCAAGTCCCGCTTGGAAGCGGAAAGATTATTTCCAGCCGTGCTGTGACCCAGGGTGAATTGGGAACTCGTGGCCTGGCACGAGGAAAACAATGATCTAGAAAATGGGATTTCGACCTTTGGCCTGTGGTTGGTGGATCTGATCTATCCTCTCCCACCATCTAGGCGCCGCATCCGACGCCTGATCATGGAGTAACGGTGTCTCACGTAAGCGGAAAGGTAGTTCTTGACCCACCCTGTACGCGAACCCGTGCAATTGCAGGCGATTAGGAGAAGCTATGTGATTTCCACTGCTTTCAGGATGGTGTAAAATGTACACTGGTTTGCCTGTTGTTATTTTTCAGTACGGATGAAACCATACTGTAGAGCAATGGTTTGCATAGATTTTGACTTGTTATAATGTTGTACGTCATAACGTTATTCTCCCTTTGACAATTTGACAGATCTAAGGGATCGTTTCGTCCATCCACTATTTCAAACTTCACATTATCTTCGCTGGTGGAGAGATTGGAAAAGTGATTATCATTATATTGTACATTTTAAAAGGTTTTTGTGGATGTCATTTCCATTAGCATGTACGGTATTCATATCTTACACTGTAATAATATGTACCCATCAGCTATGCTACATTATTGAGACGACTGACGTTGACTATCTGTGGCTGCGTGGGCAGGGAGTCAGGGAAACCCCTTCAAAATGAGTTATAAATGCACGCGCCTGAGGTAACTCAGCTGAGCGAATTGAGTTCGCGACTCGCAACTCCGGTCTCAGATCTCGGGTCGCCTTCAGGTTTTTTCGGAGTCATTAGCTGAGAAAATTCAAATGCCGATAGACCTATCGATCGTCCTATCTGGCCAAGGGCCAGCGAGTCACGCTAGGTTGCACTTTGAGAAGTGTGCACTGTACACTGGTACGGCTGCATCCATACTGTTGACCTCTAAGGATTAAAAAAAAAAGTGTCCGATATAAATAATTATAATACCATCGGGTTCTAGGTTTCGCTGGTGAGAAAGGAGCCTCAAGCTGGCCAACCTGCGGGCCCATCCGACGTTACGCCCAGTCCTGTTGAAGGATTAGTTTCGCGATGGCGCTTGCCGTCTACCTGTGCCTGTCGCTCCTCCCGGCTGTCTTCACATCCTTTGGTGGAATGGGTCGTAACTGCGCAGCACTAGTGTTCTCGTTGTATGAGTGCGCTCGTTCTACTTTCGTCCATATTAGGTTTCTTGTCTCCACGCCGACTTTTTTGCTGACCCACTCAAGTTGGCTGGTGTGTGCTGACCCACTCAAGTTGGTTTGTGTGTGCTGACCCACTCAAGTTGGCTGGTGTGTGCTGACCCACTCAAGTTTACTGGTGCGTGCTGACCCACTCAAGTTGACTGGTGTGTGCTGACCCACTCAAGTTGGCTGGTGTGTGCTGACCCACTCAAGTTTAGACAGGGTTACTACTAAGGTGACAACAAAGTAGCCTAATCCAATCGTACCTTTCGGCGTCTCTTGATGTTTGCAATCTGTCTTGGCGTTGGCATAGCAGGTAAGACATGATATCCTCTACCAACGGATGAAGCAGCTGTGCTTGCAGCTGCTGTAGCTTCAGCCTGAAAGTAGCAGACGCACACAATCAAAGGCTTGCAAGTTATCCGTTGTTTGTGTCCAAACACTAACACATTTAAGCAAGATATCGGTGAGTCAGGATGTTCAACAATAACACAACGCTGACAGATGTGGTACTGACATTTAACGAACTGATGCTTAGCTGCACCACGTCTAGAATGAATACAATAATCATTGGATTTATTTTACTAGCATCTGTATGTGTGAGACAGTGCTAGTGACTTTGGCGATAATTATATAGGAAAGTATTAGTTGGTTGCTCCTGACACAGGAGCCCGCACTGTACCGCCGACTTGACTTGACACTTGACGGAAGATCTCCTCAGCACAGTGTATTAAAAAGGCAGTGATGCCTCCTGCAGGTTTGCCGAGTCATATGCTCTGGATGGCAATTGTAGGTCAGTCAAGTGTCAAGTCAAACCGGTGGAAAAACGTGACCTGCGCTGTAGGAGCATCCCGATTTCCTACAATGATCGCCGAATTCGCTTTCACTATCTGCTGTAGTGATGCCTAGCATGGGCTACCGACAAGCTGGTTTGGGGGCAAAGGCATTGCGAACGACAATGTATCGGTCCATGAGCAACACTGAAGCACATTGCTATCCGACATTCATGAGGCGCTTGTTGCTCAGGAAACTATGCACCAAACTATCACAGTGGATGAATGAGGCCATACCTGGGATAAAGAGGAGCCAACTTTGAACAAAAATCGGAAATTTGGCCTTGCCGGATATTTTGGCTGCTACCGACATTGACTCTGTTGGATATCGTACAACGGAAATCATGTCATTCAACTTACTCTAGTTACTGTAGCAGAGGCAGTGGCAGGGGCAGCAGCTGAACTTGACCGGCTGTCTTGTGCAGCAATGGGACTGGAAACAGGTACCTGCAGTTTATCACACCGGCACAGACACACACACACACACAGACACACACACACACACACACACACACGTACATGCACAAACAAAAGGTTCATTGACATGGTGGCACAAGTAAACATTTAACACTGCTGAATCTAGTGCTGATACATATCCATGTTGACATGCTGGAGATATTCACATAGAAGTTTGATACGCGGCAGTGACCGGATATCGGACTGGATTCTGGACGGTACCCGGTTATGTGAAAGTTGAAGTGGTTGTAGTAGAGGGTGGTGCATGTCAGGGAGGACCCTACAAATTGCTACTGTTAAACCGGCAGCAAGGGTGAAGGGTGACACGGGGATGCTAAAACCGAGTTCACATTCGACGGGCGCGACGGAACGCGACGTTAGAAGCGACGAAATGCGACGTTAAAAGCGACGGAACGCGACAGAAACGACGGAACGCGACGTTAGAAGCGACGGAACGAGACGTTTGAAGCGACGGTAACCGATGGGACACTCATGACATCGAGTGACGGCGTCAAATGTAAATGCCCGAAACGGGAACGCAACCGTACTGACGAACGAATCGGGATGGGTAGGGCATTATCCCAGTTGACATGGAATCATATGAGAAAAAGCATCAAGACCGGGGCGAAAGTCACCGGGTGTGAACTCAGTTGTCACACAAGATTCTAACAAACCTTCTTCATTTTCTTGTCTTACGATGTTTCGGCCGAGTATCGCCTGGTCGATATTTGACCCAAAAGTGCTTTCACGTGTTGGAGCGGGCCTCCTACAAGTAGGGATGTCAGCGAACGCACTGCGCAGGCCTCTGCGCATGCATTACGTCATCGATTTTTTGAACGTGATCGCGGCCGACAGAGAAAACATGGCCGCGGTCTGTTTGCACCGCAGGGAGTCGTAAAATTACTGTTCTTCTGTCCCCGCGACCATTCAAATCATACGCGATACGGAGGACCCACGTACTCACCACGTTCTCCCCCGTCGATTTCTCTGAGAGTTTGCACATCATGAAACACCAGTATGAGAGGTGTTCAGGCCAATTTTCAAGAGATTTCCCTGGTTGGATCGTTCCAAAATCGGACTTACATTTCTCACTCGCGGCCATTCCTTGCGCGATGGAAGCGCCCTGCCCTGTTGAGTAACCAGCATTGCGCTTGGTAGAGAGTTGCTGCAATCAGCTCCCTGATGTCTTCCCTGCCATTGTCAGAAGCGATGGACCATGAATTTGTTTGAGAGTATCTGGATGCTACTATTCCTCAGCCTAGTTTTCAGCCATTCCGTGCATCTTCTTCACACGATTTATTTTGCAAAAAAATGAAAGTGTTCATGAGTTTTCTTGTCGGCCGCGCGTAGATGGGCCAGGCTGACCTGCGCAGATGGGCTGCGCAGTGCGTTCGCTGATATCCCTACTACAAGGAATTTTATCATGCCAGTAGAGACCATCGGTGCAGATTGTGAAATAGCACTCTCATACTGTTGGCCCTGTGGCTTGTGTATATAGAAACGATTCCATCTCCGCTCTGACGTCTACCACGGTCTGGCATGGCTGTGTAAACCTTGTGCATATGTGTGTGTATGGACAGGTCTACAAGTGAAATAGCTCACTGGTGTGTGTGTGAACACGTGGTCCGACTCATCCGACACAATCGGCGGATGAATCGGCCTAGTGTGAAACCGGCATTACTGACAAAAATGTTTTGCTCAACTTACCGTAGCTGTTGTAGCAGAGGAAGTGGCAGAAGCAGAACTTGTATCACGAAGCTGGTCGGCCAGCGCTTGTACTCGGCGGTTTGCGGTGGTTTGTTCGTTGTGTACCGTGGATACTTGTTGTTGAATCGCAGTCAGCTGTTGCTGTGTTGTTGTCTGGTTTTGTGCAATGATCTCCAGTCGCTGGGCTACGGTACTCTGTTCGTCTTGCATCTTGGATACTTGCTCACGTGTTGCAGTCAGTTGTTGTTGTGTTGCAGTCTGTTGTTGTTGTGCTGCAGTCTGGTTGTTGGTAATGGCCGCTTCAAGTTGTTGTTGTGTTTCAGTCAGTTGTTGTTGTGCTGCAGTCTGGTTGTTGGTAATGGCCGCTTCAAGTTGTTGTTGTGTTGCAGTCAGTTGTTGTTGTGCTGCAGTCTGGTTGTTGGTAATGGCCGTCAGCTGTTCCTCTAGCGTATCACTCCGCGTGGCCAGCGCAGTAATGGACGTAGCTTGCTGGGTTAGCTGTTCGGAGATAGAGTCCAGTCGACGTACAACAGCCGGTGGTACATTGGAAGGATGAGGCTGCAATGAACAGACAGGGTTCACGCAACACAACAATACCACAAAAAGGATACCAACACACCAACACCAAACACAGCATATCAAGACAATAACACCACACCAGCACACAGAGGAAAATGAACACGGAGAGATATACAGTCATAATGCCCTATCCGCAGTTGCATGCATGTGTTCACCTCATTGGCTTCGCTCGTTCCTCATGTCTTTTGTTCATTTGACTTATGCGAAGGCTACCCAAGCTCGCTTAGTGATGTCAACGCGAACAAGTTTTACTTGTAATAATATTAATAATCACACGCAGGACATACGAATCGTGCCGGGTAAAATCTCCCCGAACAGGACTACGTTCCCGCAATTTTGAAAGTAAGACGAAAGCAGCACTATCTGCACTCTACTAGCATGGACACCCTCTGACACTGTAATGCCCGCACCAAACATAAAGACATGGCAGCAGCAGCACCGGACACTAGCAAGCAACACACACTCAGCTGCCTGCACTGTTAGTTCGATATTCACAGGAGATTACGTGTAGCAATCAGGTCCCGCAAGGACACTAGGTTGCAAACATCAGACTATAATATAGTTATGTAACACACACAGGTGCAGGCAGGTTGCCATGTTATCCACATCATACTATGCGCAGTGTCTGCTCCTGAGCTGGATCTGTAACCCGTATTTGGGGGGGGGGTCTTGGACACGCTTGGAAAAAGAACACCGGGCCGCTTATTTATTTTCTTTTACATAGGATGCTCAACAGTGCAGCTGCACAAAGAGGCCGATGGAACATGAAGAGGCCGATGGCACTTGTGACCCGGTTGGGACTCAATCAGCGAGTCCTAAGATTCCCTGATGTACACTAGCCACACTTGAATGTACCCGGTACTGACCCGGTTGCAAGAGATGTGCCAGGTGCACGTGTACCCGGTTGCAAGAGTCGTGTCAGGTACGCGTGTACCCGGTTGGTTTGAAATCCTACACTTGCAGAGCAGACACTGATGTGTACCACCCAGGTACGGATATGATGCCATCAAGAGTAAATACCCCCCCCCCCCCCCCAGAGTGTGCACCGCCTGATCCAGCTGTGCATAGGGTCTTGGTCGAGCGTAATCAGATCTTTGCGTCATAATACCCTACACATCTGCGGGGAACCCGGGGAGTCGAGGGTACTCTCGGATCAAAAGCAACGGTGCCCTGCCTCGAGACTGGCCTTGCGCTGGTGTGAAGGGTACGCATGACATCAGAAGATCCGACTGCGCTCGACCAAGACCCTATGCAGAGCTGAATCGGGCGTTGCACACTCTGCGCAGTTATGTACTCTTGATATAAAGTTACACACATCAGACTACACCGAGGTCCAGACAGGGCTATAGGTGATACACATCAGACTACACCGAGGTCCAGACAGGGCTATAGGTGATACACACCAGACTACACCGAGGTCCAGACAGGGCTAAAGGTGATACACACCAGACTACACCGAGGTCCAGACAGGGCTATAGTTGATGCACATCAGACTACACCGAGGTCCAGACAGGGCTATAGGTGATATACACCAGACTACACCGAGGTCCAGACAGGGCTATAGGTGATACACACCAGACTACACCGAGGCCCAGACAGGGCTATAGGTGATACACACCAGACTACACCGAGGTCCAGACAGGGCTATAGGTGATACACACCAGAATACACCAAGGTCCAGACATGGCTATAGGTGATACACATCAGACTACACTGAGGTCTAGACATGGGCTATAGGTGATGCACATCAGACTACACCGAAGTCCAGACAGGGCTATAGGTGATACACACCAGACTAAACCAAGGTCTAGACATGGGGTATAGGTGATACACACCAGACTACACGAGGTCCAGACAGGGCTATAGGTGATGCACATCAGGCTATGTGTAACACCCAGCTACAGCTACAGGTGACAGGACACTGGGTTCTAGTATCCACGCATGCAAGGCAGGTACGGCCATTGGCCAACCTTGTACATGTATGTGTGCAGGGCGTGCAAATGGTTGGCAAGACACGGCATGCCCACACCAAGTACACATGACGTGCTGTGCAAAAGAAGGTAGCCACACAACAAGGACATTTCCAGACCACAATGTCTAGAAGAGGAGCAGCAACTACCTCGTGATTGTCCATTTTATACGCTGGTCTTTGTACTTGTAACGGAACAAAAAAAAGCAACCCCACTTTCCTGTGTCTTGAAGTGGTTGTCTGAAGGGATAGGCGGTCAATTTTGATAACGAAATTCGTGACCCTTTGTTTACGATCTTCAGGACTTTCTGCTAATCCTGTACGGTTGCAACACGTATTGTGCAAGTGTACAGGACTCTTGCTGTAACCTGGTCGCTGGCTCCCTAAAACTACACACACCTACAAATGAATGCATCGCCAGTGCATTCGCTTTTCCTCCACATACAATCAAGAATGCTGGACCATCACTTGTTTCATTACATCGCCAATATTTCACGGTAGTAGGCCGGCTCAAGAAGATAATTGAAATGCCCATAAAAATACTTTCAACAAACTACTTACCGACGAGAGACTGGTGAACAGCTGCAACACTCGCTTCATCTCCTCGTGTACTTCCTCGGCGGTCGGTCGCTCGCTCGGTTCATTGGAGTGGCAGCGAACTGCCAGCGGCTTCAGTGGGTGGTCATCTGCCAGTCGCCGAAGATAAGCAGCACGCCGTCTTGTCTCTGGCACCACCTGCGTCCTTTCCCGTCCACTGGCGTCCTGGACGATCACAACGGCTGGAGCGTTGATCAGGTCGATCCCTGGCATTACTCCAGTGATAACAGCCAGTAGCGTAACACCCAACGAGAAGATATCCAGCGGACGATCATAGTCTGGTTGCTCTACCAGTGCCTCCGGTGGCATAAAAGCCAACGTTCCGGGGCAACGGGTCATGTCCATTCGAGCCGCCTGCACCTGGTGCTGCTGTTGACGAGGGGATGCCAAGCGTACGAATTTCGCCACACCAAAATCGCATACCTTTGCGACTCCGTTCTTGATCATCACATTTTTCGGTGCGAGGTCTCGGTGGATAATACCACGAAGGTGCAGGTATCTGATACCAGCCGACGTGTCACAGAGGTAGCCGATTAACTTCAAGCCATCATCCCGATCCTCACCAATACTCAACTCTTCCAACGTCGAAGTCAGCAACTCCAACGCGAGAGCAGCGTTTCGCCCAACTCTCGCAATGCCCAGCAATTGACAAAGGTTGGGGTGGTGGGTGCGACTGAGACGGAATACCTCTTGGCCGAATGAACGGATTTTCCTCTCTCGGTCCTGAACACCAGGCTCAATCAAAATGGGGTGCAGAACCTTCAGGGCGATATCTATTCCCTGCCAGTTCAGCCGATACACGGCGGCATCGGAGCCACGACCAAGTTCATCTTCTTGCCTCACTCGCACTTCTCCCAAGAAAACAATATCCTGATTTGTCAGGCCTAACTCTCTCATCAAAGGCAAAGCTTCCAGTTCCATGGCACTAGAGAAGCATGATCATTGTGCGCACTGAGTCACGAAAGCAATGAAGCACAATGAAGTCGAGACGTTTTGAAGTGGACAATTGGTTTACAAACTCCGTAACTGATACTAGTGTTCTAGGCGAGTTGTTGTCGTTGATCGTAGTCCTCGTGTATCCGCTAAACACAGATCTATCATGTGCAGTACGACTACTAGTACTAGTAGAGTTGATGACCGTATCGTGAAAGCTAATATACGAGGTCCTCGTGTTTTCCATTTCAGCGGGCGTCATCTCTTGACCTTTGTTAGCAACTGCTACGATTGTGTCCATGGTTGAATCTCGTGATAGCCGATAGCCTATGCTATGGTTGTGGCAATGGTGAAATCTCGTGATCGGCTCTACATTCGTGATCGACCAGTGAGTGGGATTTTCGACTCCCTGCTCACTACAGTTTTACTCAGTAGTCACCTGTTGCACCCGTGATCACGTGACTTCTGCCTGGTTGATGCTGACCCGTCACACAATGACCTTCGTCAGAGCTCTACTTCTCGACTCCAGTGATCTGCACACTCTAGACTATAGTCTATACTACAGTGCTGGCAACTGAAATCCGACCCTTGAGCGGTGCGCTCACATCGCAAAGACCCAACACGTGATGGGATGGTAAAACTGCGAAGCAGAGACCGCTAGAATGTGGACACACCGCTAGGTGGTCGGATTTCAGTTGCCAGGACTGTACTACTGGTGTAGTTCTTACTCAATCTGCGTACAGAACTGTTTGAACTGTTTCGTACTTTGAAAGGCTTTGTGGACTCATCAGCGCGCAGCACAGAGGAAACGAGGCCGAACCTGATAGCAATGAAAAATATATTTTCCAAAGCCAGATTTCAACCAGGCCCGAACGTACCTTGCCAGAGTGCTCACACTGACAAGTCAGTGAGCTCTGCATAACGCAAACAACAAAGGCACTACCCCACACAAGAGTGCTCAACTGCTACAAGTCACAAGGGCAGGAGCGACATAATCCATTCTAGCTCTTATCAATATTTTCAGGAACCGTCATGTCAGTCCAAGGCAAAGGTCACACAAGACACAAGTAACACATGATCCGCTCATAATGATAATGGCAATGGTTGTCACCAGTATTCGGAGCAAATCTCCTGTTCAGGGATGTGGGTTTAGCATCAGGGCATAGAATTTTTACGGTTTGCCGAAAATCAGTCAATCCAAAACTATGATCAGCACCTAGAGACCGCCACCACACTCAATGATCGAGTCATATTAGATGCTGCAGCTCCTAACGGTAATGATAGAACGAGCACACAGAACAACAAGGGGCAAGGCTAGGCTTTCGCAACTCTGAGTTTCATGCTATGGAATCATCAGGCAACAATACATGAGGGTGGTCATTTTGGCCCCAACGGTCAAGAGAAATACTGCCATTATTGGCGTTTGTTTGTGGTTTGTGCTATGCACCGGATGTTAATTTTGTACCACGAGCATGCAGTTGGAAAAAAACACTGTGATTGCATGTGGGGGCAGTGTTAGTTTTAGGGCTAGCATTTTTATGTTAGTGCAAAGTGTGTGTCTGGCCACTATGGTATGGGCAGCCACCAATATTTCCCAGGCGTGGCCAACAGTACTCCAAGGGCGAAGGCAGGGGGGGGGGGGTGCTTTCGGGGCGAACATTTCGATCCTGGTTCGCAGCTGGTTCGAGAGAGACGATAATACACGGAGCGCTGATCACATGTACTCATGTACAACTCTGCACATCGCTCGGGTCTAGTCATCCCATTTCAGACCAGAAGGTACGGGTAGTAGGCACTACCTATATTGTTAGATTGACAGCATGAAACAAGGCGGAGGACGCTCAATCTAACAATATGCGTGAACGATAACAAGGTTTATCTAATACTAGTTTTGAAATAGTATTGGTAATTTGGGTTATAATAATACTAGACACTACCTGTATTCCCTGGTTCAGACATACGGGTTAATTTAAACATCTAAACCCAATCTACATGTTCCTAATTGTAGTTGGTTATTCTGATGGTAATTGGTTGACCATTTTGCAACTCCGCTTCGTGCCTTCCATTGTGCAGTAACACGTTACGTCAGACCTCAGCAGATTCAGCACATGCATTGTATCGCACTCCACATGTTGTTTTTTCATAAGCAAAGAGTCATACAAACCACATCATGGGTTGAAGCATCAACGCCATGAACACAGTCCATGGAAACACACACACGTCAGACATAGTAGTTTTTTTCGCGCTATGTTTTGAATAAAAACTGTACAATGTACAATGTAGTTCTGGCTGTTGAGTGGTTGCGCTGTGGAAAACCAAAGAAGTTACCGGTATTACTTTCATGTGCTGCAAGTGTAGGTACAGCAGCAGAAGAGTGAAAGTAACGTTGAGGTGCAGATTGCGGTTATTGTTTACAATAATATAGTGTACGTTTGATCACGGATGCCGTCCTGCACTATCAAACACAAGGAAGAGAAAAGCAGATTGAGAAATCTGACTTTAAGTTCGATCGAAAGTGTGATAATTCTCGAGAAAGCAGCATCCAGGACTTAGCTTTACAGTAGTTGGAAGGGGGGAGCAGTAACATTGCACATTGCTACTCCCTGGTTGGAGTTTTGCCATTAATAATAATAATAATAACTTTATCAGGATGAACCCAAAGGCAAATCATTCACTGATTGATCTTCAGCGTCAAAAATGTGGGGCTAATTTTGCTCCCCTGAAGGTGCGCTAAAAGCGGCTGCCCCACAGTCCGCTGACACCGATATCTAGGCGAGCGTGGTGGTCAGTTGTTGCTGAAACTGCTCCCCACAACAGTGCCTGGAGCGACGGCTCAACGGACACATTATGTGCAACTTGCCTCAACATGGCTGCGGTGACATCTAGGCCTTGACAGATTATACTAATATTTTCATGAAATTATGCTTTCCGCATTGCTGAAAAAATTGCAGATTTATGCTATTTTTATTATTATTATTATTATGAAATGACCCAAAGGCAATGTGCCTATCGAGGGGTTCATTTGATTGAAAGAACAGTAGATGTAGATGTATGTACAAAGACAAGTAGGGATTGATGAGGAGAGAAATGGGGAAAATCAACTGCAAGACGGCGCAATTCCGTTGATTGCATAAGCATGGTCAGCTGTAAATTTCCTGAGGGCAGCTTTGAAGTTATAGAGCGAGGCTTCCTTTATGCTAAAAGTTATCATTGTTAGGCGGTGTTTACATGAGTCGTTTCAACCCGGGTTGAGTTCGACCCGGGTCAGCTTTCAACCCGCCATGTGCATAAAATGAATGGCGCGTTTACATGACGCATTGCGCTTGACCCGGGTTGAAATTTCGCCCCGGGTTGATTTCAACCCTCCCCCCAAGGGGAGGGTACAGCACCAGTCCTCCCTTGACATCACTGCCTCCCTCACCTGCCGTGTTCTCGCCCAAGATCCAGTTCTTGGCACTGCCATCCATGATGTTCGCGCTGCCAAGAAGCGCGTGATGGCGACAGCCAGGGAGTCAATTCGCGCAGCAGCCCAGGCCTTCTCTTCCTCCGCCAGTCCAGAGCTGCAGCGAGTGATCGCTCTGGCTTCGGAACCGGGTGCCTCAAGCTGGCTCACGTGCCGACCCCTTCAACGCCATGGCTTCACCCTGACGAAGTCGGAGTTTCGGGATGCTGTTTGCCTTCGCTTCAACTGGCTGCCGGTCCGGCTACCATCACTGTGTGCGTGTGGGCAGCAGTTCACTGTGTCTCACTCCCTCTCGTGTCCGACGGGTGGATTTCCGTCCATTCGTCACAACGAGGTGAGGGACCTCACTGCTCGTCTGCTCAGGCGGGTGGCCCATCAGGTGGCAGTTGAGCCACACCTCCAGCCACTCTCCGGAGAGCAACTCCGTTATCGCACTGCTATTGCTGACGACCAGGCACGCCTAGACGTCGTGGCTAGTGGCATTTGGGGAGGACGGTTCGAACGCACCTACATTGATGTACGGGTATTCAACCCCCATGCGTCTTCGAACCGTTCCAACTCACTTGCTGCTACCTATGTCCGTCATGAAAAGGCTAAGCGTCGTGCGTATGAGCAGCGCCTGAGGGAGGTGGAGCATTCCAGCTTTGTCCCCGCCATCTTCTCTACCACCGGAGGCATGGGAAAGCATGGTGCTTCGCTCTACAAACGCATCGCCTCTCTCCTCGCTGCCAAGACTGGGGAGCCATACAGCATCACCCTAGCTGCCATCCGCTGCCAGATTGGCTTTGCACTGGTCCGTTCAGCGCTGATGTGCTTGCGTGGTGCACGCAAGGCATTCTTACCAGCAATGGCCTCAGACTCGGCAGCGCTTGTTGTTGCTGAAGCAAGAATCTCAGCTTGAGGCTTACATTATTATTATTATTATCTGTCAAGTGTCATTAATGACATTGTACATGATCATCACCGCGTGCGCTCGATCTAATCATTGATTGTCTTTATTTTATGTTTTGCCCGTACAAGGGCCTTAAGGGGAGGGTTGAAATCAACCCTGGTCAAGAAAATCGTACAAACGTACTTCTGTGCGTATCTCGCGCCAGGTTTGAACGGCACTGCAGATGCAAATTTCGCGCGAACGGATTCACGTGACCATACAGGACTGTAGTGTAGAAGTGAACTTTTGGCGGCATATCAGTATTTGACCCGGGTCAACTGTCTTCATGTAAACGCTCACCTCTTTTGTCTATCGTACAGACTTTCAACCCGGGCTGAACTCGACCCGGGTTGAAATTTCTCATGTAAACACAGCCTTAGGTTCACGATTTCACATATGCACGCACTTGCACACTCGTACGCACTCGCACACTCGAACTCACCTTTACAGGCGCGCACTCACTTTCACTCTCGTACTCACCTTTTCAGGCGCGAACTCACCTTTTCAGGCGCGCACTCACTTTCACTCTCGTACTCACCTTTTCAGGCGCGAACTCACTTTCACTCTCGTACTCACCTTTTCAGGCGCGAACTCACCTTTTCAGGCGCGCACTCACTTTCACTCTCGTACTCACCTTTTCAGGCGCGAACTCACTTTCACTCTCGTACTCACCTTTTCAGGCGCGAACTCACCTTTTCAGGCGCGAACTCACTTTCACTCTCGTACTCACCTTTTCAGGCGCGAACTCACCTTTTCAG